TGCTGATTTTCTGCTCAAGAAATATCAATTTAAACTTATTATTATTAATGTTGATGAAAACAGTTCTGTTTAATATTTTTGTGATAACTGTGTTTTCGGGATTCTTTAATGAACAGAGTTCGTTTTTATTTGAAATAGAATAGAATATAATTGTTGTAACATTATAAAGGTCTTTATTGTCACTCTTGATTACTTTAATGCGTGCTTGCTTAATAAAGATAATTAAAAAAAACTGACCTAAACATTCGAAGGGCAGTGTATATTACAAATTAAAACGGATAAAGCGAAACAAAAATAGAACTACAAATCTCGTTGAAACAAACGGCACGAGCGCTCTCACTTTCCATAGAATCCAATCGCACATCACATGACCCTCCGTGACCAATCAGACACGTTCAATGCAGGCATGAGCTGCAGTATCATTCACGTACACGTTGGCGTTATTTGAATGGGAAAACAGTGTGTATATAATGTAACAATGGTTGATTCAACCGTTTTCACCTACACTAACAAGGACTTTATAAATGATGTTTGTTCTGGCCAGCAGACCAGGTCGAGATTTGACATCGCGCTGCGGTCCCGATGGACTGAGAAGAGGAACGCCGGACTGTTCCGGTACCATCTGGACGATCTGGAGACGCGCATCCTCCCTGGTCCGTGTAGCTACATCGCTCAGCTGAACATCATGAGGGGCATCGAGAGACGAAAACCTCAGGAGATCCTGAGCGTCCGGCAGAACTTTGACCCGAAGCAGTTCAATTTCAACAAGATCAACCCAAAAGAGCTGCTGTTTGAATTACTGAAAGAAAGCGAAAGCTCGTGTGAAGCCAGGTGCCATCGAAATGGTTCAAAAAGGAAGTGCAAAGTCATAATAAACGTAAGTCCGTTAGAATTCGGTCACTGTTTGCTCGTACCAGAACCGGACAGGTGTCACCCTCAGATACTGACACCTTTGGCGGTCCAGACGGGGATAGAAACGGTTCTGCTGAGCGCTGATTCGGGATTCAGAGTTGGTTTCAACAGCCTGGGTGGTTTTGCTTCAGTCAACCATCTCCATCTTCATGGCTACTACCTAAACCACCAACTGAGGATTGAAACCTCCCCAGCAGAACCGATCCTGCCTAAAAAAAACTTGTATCGCCTTCTGGACTTCCCAGTAGGCTTTCTGTTCTACACCCAGGGTTCAAACCTGGATTTGACAGTCAGTGCAGTTTGCAGTCTCACTGATACTATGGTTGATAGGAACATTGCACACAACATCTTCATCACCCGAGGTTGCCCTCCACAGAGGGAGCGTGACCCGTCTTCTTCCCGAAACGGGGTGAGGGTTATCGTATGGCCCCGGCTGTCCTGTTTTGGGGCCAAAGAAGAGTCTGCCTTCGACGTTGCCCTGTGTGAGCTCGCCGGACACCTTCCCTTCAAAAACAGAGAAGACTATGAGACAGTCACTGAGGACAGAGTCCAAGACATCATCCGGAAATATCTGCTGCCCCAAGAAGAGTTCAGTGGATTGCAAAAGCATGTCATGAAATGTTTATAGATGGCACTTTAAAGTATATATTTTTTAATTTATTTCTCTTGAGGTTACAAATGAAGTAAATTTCATTATATATATATATATATATATGTAAATATATATAGTTAAAAATACATAATTGTATTTAATATGTGGTGTAAAAATTGTATGAATTTTTTTATTTAATATATATGTTGTGCAAAATATTTTACATATGTTATGTGGTGAAAAAATAGCATTTTATTTAAAAAATACAATTATATTATATCTACTGTTGTTTTAAAAAATATGACAACAATACAGAAAATTGTGTGCTGTTACATGACCTTGTCACTTTGCATGTTTACTTTAATGACAGACATCCTGTTTTTTGGCAATAAAAATATATATTTTGCCTTGTTGAATGTCTTAACATTCGACAGTTAGATCAAATAATGAGTCAAAAAGAATGCATCACACTGAAAAAGGAAAGTACGGTGGCCGTGAAGTGCAAAGCAAATCACAATTCTGATGACTTGTTATTTTGTTTTCGGATTTGTCGTTGTGTTTTCTGATTTGTTAATTTGTTTTCGGATTTGTCTTTGTGTTTTCTGACTTGTTATTTTGTTTTCGAATTTGTCATTGTGTTTTCTGACTTGTTATAATGTTTTCTGAATTGTTGTTGTGCTTTCTGAATTGTTATTTTGTTTTTTAGACTTGCATTTGCGTTTGTAATTTGTTATTTTGTTTTCAGAATTGTGATTTGCTTTGCACTTCACGGCCACCGTAGGAAAGTCAGGTCAAGTGCATTGCATTGTGGGATATAGTATCTCCGGCAGTAAACTGTGTTGGATGCTGTATTTTATCACAGAAGTTGTATGCTTGCATAGACTCAATACTTGAAATCCTTCTCTATAGCTCCCTCTAGTGGCCTGTGGGGGTGAAACGCGGTTAAAATACCACATTGGGAAAAGTGATCATTTGATTTTGGGAATAAAATACGCAATTACAAACATTTGTTTAGTAGGCTACATTAATGTTTCATGAATTAAATGGTTTCATACAGTTGAAACTCAGTTATTCAATACTTAATTGACTGAATTATAAAATCGCATCTAAATTAATCCATTTGCTGTGTTTCAGGGCTTTAAACATGATTTCTGATTATATCACGGTTCCATTACACAATGTTCCAGCCCAAACAAACAGCCTGACGTCTGAACTGTGTATAACTGCAGCATTTCGGTAAGTGGACACTGTTAGCCTGAACCAGTTCTTGATCAGATCGTGATAAACAAGGCAGATTCTGCTATACCTCTGACTGAAATGTACGCCTGTGGTTTTCTGAGTGTGCCTTTGTACCCTGACTGTCCTGTTTACAGCTAAATCAAAAATCAAAATCAAAACCACACGCCTGAGAGCATCCAGGCCAGACAACTTAAAACCATCCTGGCGTCGTTTAAACGCTCTCTGTGGCCTCCAATACCTATTAATTCCAGGTGATGGTTGCTGTAACTAACACTAAACCGGTCTGAGGAGACCTGTGTCATCTGTTTCACACCACAACAAGAACCCTGCTGTGTATCATGTGTATGAATCCTTTTATCTGCCATCTAACCCCACAGACACTCTTGAGGGCGTCTAGATGATACATTTGCCTTTTAACTTTACTGAACTTCATACTCATACTCTTCCAAATAAATCAGTAGCAACAATCCTTCAGCCAGTGGGTAACCCGAACGTCCACTGAGTGACGCCTGCAGACAGAAGAACGTTACCAGAGCGTGACTGATAACATTTACATTGCACATGTAAGTACACCACGTACCAGATACTGTACTCAAAACTGGTGGAGGTTTAAACCCTCCAGCAAAAGCTTCAAAATAAACGGTCTGGATCTAATGGGGGACATATATGTCAGTCTCTAGGCAGGTTGGGCTGCAGCAGTTCTTACAGACCAGCAGATATGAGCTTTAACCTCTGTCACAGACACCCATGAAGCCTTTGCCATCCTCCTACACGTCCATATTTGGTGACATAATGAACAAACGGAACATTTGACAACCATGGTAAGCCCACAAGTGCACATCAAGTGTGCCATTCGGGGGCAATGTCATATACTCAATGGAGATGGGAAATTGTGCGTTTAAGCATGTGTCCCTTATCTAAAAATACTCTGAGCCTCAGGAATTACACCTTCACATAACCACTGCAGAGCTCTCAGTCTTCACAATTAATTACAAGGGGAAACAGTGAAAATTAATGGCCTCATGCATGCATCTGTAAGATCAATGAGTAACGAGTCAATGCCTGGAGAAAGAGAAAGGTTAATAAGCATAACTGTACCATACATGCACATTGTGCAAATGAGTGCATTACGTGCCAATGACGAAACTGGTGAAAGTTTAAAAATGCTCCACAAATTAGCAAAAATTGAAAATCAAATAAATCAGCCCAGATTTATCCTCCTGGCCCAGACCCAGCTACAATTACAAGAAAAATCCCATAAAAACAAAATTGTCATAGGCTTACATGTTGTGTATGAGGAGATAGGCCTATTTGCAGTGCCGGCCCGTCCAACAGGCGGTACAGGCGGTCGCCTGGGGCCCCCGCCTTAAGGGGAGGGCCCCAGGACCGCGAGGTTGTCAATTAAAGGGGTCATATGACGTTGCTAAAAAGAACATTATTTGTTTTACTTTTTTATTTAGATGGGACAGTAGGTGGACAGGACGTGAAGTGGGTGAGAGAGAGAGGGGGGTGGGATCGGGAAAGGTCCACGAGCCGGGACTCGAACTCGGGACGCCCGAAGCACAAAGGCGCAACATGTCGGCCGACCATAAAGGCTATTTCTAAAAAAAAAACTAAAAAAAAAGGGATCAATTCCGACTTTGCTATGATAATCTGGCGCTTCTGAATCAGCGACTGTAAGTATGTTTTGTTATTAGTTTAAGTATTTGCTACTGACTGTTCAAATGCGGAGTTTTGCGCAGCGCAGAG